CACATGGTGTGTAGCCTTTTCAGGCTGGCTTCTTTTTCTTAAGGTCTCTTCCTGTCTTTTCACGGTTCATACCTCATTTCTTTAACTGCTGGACAGTACTCCATTGTATGGATTACCACATTCTTTACCTCCATCTAGAGAAGACATTTTAGTTGTTTCCAAGTTTTGCCAATTATGAATAAAGCTGCCATAATCGTCCTCTACAGGTTATTGTGTAAACATTAAGTTTTTTACTTTCTCGGGCAAATACCAAAGAATTCTATCGCTGGATCATGTGGTAACTATGTTTAGCTTTGCAAGAAACTGCCAAACTTGTTTTTCAAAACTCACTATAGCACTCAGCAGCCCCACCAGCAATGAACAAGAAAGAGTTCCTGTTGCTCCTCATCCTGGCCAGCAGTTGGTGTTGTGGCGGGACTTGGACCACCCCAATAGGTGTGTGGTGATATCTCACCGTCATTTTAATTTGTATTTGAAGACCTATGATGGGGGCATCTTTTCATTGGCTTATTTGCCACCTGTAAGTCTTGGCTGAGAGGCCTGTTAAGGTGTTGCCTGTTTTGAAAATTGAGCGGTTGTTTTTCTTCTTGTTGAGTTTTAAGAGTTCTTTATATATTTTAGATTTTTCCCAGTCTGTGACTTGTCTTCTCACTTCCTTCAAAATATTTTTGCAGGGCAGAAGTTTTTAATTTAATAGAATCCAATTTTCCAATTTCTTTCTTTCACAGAGTATGCTTTTGAGTTATACCTAACACATTATCACCAAAACCAAAATCACCTAAATTTTCTCCTACTTTGTTTCTGTTTTAAAGTTCTGATTTTATTCTTAAATTTATATCCACTTTCAGTTCATTTTGTGAAAGGTGTCACCTTTTTTTGAAAAGACTATTCTTTCTCCAGTAAAGGATAGCCTTTGCTCCTAAAATCTAAATCTTTAAAAAACAGATGGATAGATATGCTAGTTTAAATCAGCTAAACCTAAAACAACCAAAAAAATAAAGATTCATTCTGAAAAAAATGCTTCCAAATAATGAATGTGCTAGAAACTGGTGGGACAGCTCTGACGCCCAAGGCTGGGTCCGCAAACTGCCCTAAGCACCCTCCCAGCTGCAGGCCAGCTTGTCCTTGAACAAAGCCTCTGTCGTCCTGGGGATGAATAAACAGGCAGCCTCACCTGGGCACATCTGAGAGCAGGAGACTGAAGTGGTCCCGCAGGAGTGAGCACTTCCTCTGCATGGAGCAGGAGTAGGTACTCGAGGAGAGCACAGTGAACCCCACTTGGCCTTTTATAGGGAGCCTGGGGTACTAAATCACCTCTGAAAGTTCTCACCTCCTAATACTGTCAGAATAGCAGTGAGTTTTGGAAAGAACGTTTGAGCCATCACAAGCAGTCATGACACACTTGCTCTTAATCATCACAGACTTCGTTAAAATCTCCAGGTTCAGTTTCAGCCAAGGGCTGCCTGTCCTTGGTCCTCGTGTCCTAGTGAGTCTCAGTGCCCAACAGGCACCCTGTGGCCTGACCCCAAATCTCTCTGTCCCCTAGGACAGGCTCTCCACTCCAGCCAACAGCTGCCTCCCTGCACTTGCCCACACACCACAGTCACCCAGAAGTCACATGCTGGTCCCAGACAGTCCAGCCACCCCTCCTCCACAGCCAGACAGTGATGCATTGCCCAGAACCTTCTGCCTCACTGACCCCAGCAGAACAGAATTTGGGTCTTTTCTGTCTCATTCCTCTTTGTATTGTGAAATGATGTTCTGTGTGATAGCATTATATTATAAAATATATTCTTCTATAACCAGAAGCCAGAGTTATACCAAGTCACCACAGTTATAAAACTTTTATAAAAATGCCACCCAAAAATTAGTACTGACCTACCACAAAAATATCCCAAAGAATTTACTGATAAGTTAGTGAAGGAACCCTGGAAATACTAAAAAAATAATAATAATAACAAACAAAAGGAAAAAAACCTAGATAAATGTAGCCTATATGTATTAGAACAAAATCCCAACCCACCTGGTGCATTTTGATATGAGCATGAGAAGTGAAGCTGTGTTTAAGAGCTACGTATTGAATGCAGTTTAGAAAGCAATAAATCAAAAACAGAGAGTCCAGAACTTGTCTGGGAATGATCCTCCTGCCTCTGGATGCTACACCAGGCTCTTCTCAGAGAAGTTCAATTTCTCAGGTGCCTGTTTGATGGAAAGAGCCTTGTACAGTACCCACCCGCTGTGACACTGATTCTAGGCTCAGCAGCAGGCTGGGGTGGGACTGGGCTGGCCTTTCAAGTGGCCTTTCCACCAAGGGCATGCCAGGCAGGTGCCCTCCAGCAGAAAAGCAGTGCAGTGGCATTGTGACTGAGCACCCAGCCTATTCTGGTTGATGACTCAGTTTCTGAGCCCGCACAGCAGAAAGCCACAGTGCTGTGCGCTGTCCTTCACTGAGGGAGCCTCTAAGCTCCGGCTTGGATGGGGTAGGGCACCCCACACTTGGCAGCCCTCTTCCTGCCACAGCATATGTCACACCTCCCTGTTGGCCTAAGCATTCTGAAAGCCCACACGATGTCCCGTGCTCCCTAATAGCTTCCATCCGGTTGAGAAGACAATTGACTGATTATAAAACACGGTGGAGCTATTCTTTTCCTCATTTTCACCAGTCAGATTCTTCTCCTAATGTTTGTGATTAATCCACTCAACAAATATTTCTTGAATGCATTCTTTCAACAAATACCTGCTGAGACACCAGAACACACTATGCTGGAAACTGCAGTCACCATCCCTGCCAACAAGGAGTCCACAGTCAAGTGAGAAGACAGACAGTGAAAAAGTAATACAGGGTGCTCTGGAAAAACTGCTGATTGTAGGACTGAGAATATGCAAGATGAACCTGGAGCACCTTATAGTGCCAGACAGAAAGTAGTGGGAGAGAGAGAGAGAGAGAGCTCAAAAAGGAAACGAGAGCCAAATGAAAGAGCTCTCAATGGCCAAAGTGGAAACAATCTGAACAAAAACTAATGAAGATAATATTGTATTACAAACCAAAGCATAAAATAAACATTCGTGCGTCCACGCTGGTATACAAACTGATTGACTAAATTGGCTGAAGGGATGCTCTCGCGTGTAGAAGACTAACAGATGGTAAACTAGGTACTCCAGCCTCGGGGGGAGAGCCTCACTCCTCACCCCTTACGTGCGGGCTAAGCAGAGTGACTTTCTTCAGAAGAACACAGCGTGCAAAAGGGTAACAATAACCTTGCGCAGAGAAACCGACAGGCCACCTCAACCAGGTGTTCAAGGTCACCATCGTCGGGGACAAGCCATGTTGGTTCCAGCGTGTGCCTTCGACAGAACGTGAGAAAGTGGCTCTTCTGTGGTCTTCCTGCCCTAACACATACTCCAATCACAAGGGAGACTTCGGACAAACCCCAGTTGAGGGACATCCTACTAAGTACAATACTGGCTTTTTACTGGATGGATAGACAAATGTAGTCTGGGGGGGATTTTTTTGTTGTGCCGGGAACTGAACTCTGGACCTTGCACTAGCCAGGCAGGCGCAGTGCCACTGAGCTAAGTCCTCAGCCCTAACAAACGTAGTTTTTACTTCAAAGGAGCACACACTCTCCTCTTAACCAGGCCTCCAGGACTGCGCCAGGTTGGACGCCCAGAACCTGAGCGATTCGATGTAGGTCCTTCCTGAGGGCCTGCGCCCGCGCCGGGCAGGAGGGAGGCCGTCTCCTTCTCCATGCAGAGGCTAGGGAGGCCACTCAGAAAATTCAGAGATTTTCCCAAGGCCCGCTCCTCCTTCACCTCTCACATCTCCTCCTCCTATTGCGGAGCCCACACTTCACATACCTGGGCTTGTTAAATGTATGGCCTCAGACATCACCATTAAGATGCAGACAGACTATATCAATCCTGCAAATTCCATGTCACCGATTACAATCAGGACTGTAAACTTCTTGTCTTCAGAATGTTGTGACAGTGCTCAGTGGACAGCAGGGTAGTAACTGCTCCTGAATGCTGTTTATGTCAGGCACATGATCTCAAAACAATCCACTCACCACTTTAGATGCCCTTGGATCATAAGAATAAAATGTGCAATGTTTCAGTTTTCCAGTGAACATCCCGTCAGATCCATAATTTCATACAATCTACTTTTAATTTCTGTCACAACAACAAGACTACTTGATGAGAAGTGAAGATTGAACAATGAGATTAAATGTTAAGAAACAAAGGAGAAGATAAAAGCTAACACCTTGGTGCTTGTACAGATAATCTGAACAAGAAAAGAACTAACGTGCAGCGCTGAGCTGGGCCTCCCCACCTCTACTTTGCTCTGACATTCTCATCCTAAGTGGGCCCCAGAACAGCTTCCACAGTCCAAAATGCAAAGGCTCAGATACCATTTTGCTATTTTTGTAAGAAACCAAGAGTGAGATCACAGCATGCTGTAGGAAAAGCAAAAGTGATTTCCAAGATCGTCTGCTATGCTGGTTCAGCTCTATTAACAATACACTAATGCCAATGGATCAGCACCTACTATGTAGGCCTACTTTCTTACTGTAGGAATGCAAGAAAGAAAAGCTTAAGCTGGTTAATGATTCCCAAAGAAGTTTACAATCTGCTTTAAAAAATTATTTTCCTAAGAAAACAGATGAGCCCTCCTAGCCCTCCTGGAGCCAACTGGAAGGTGCACTGCGGTCCGATGGTGGAAAGCAGAAAAGGAGAAAATTGAAGAACTGGGGCCACTAAGACAGCTCCTGTCTCTCTGATATGTTTTTCCACCCCTGGGTTCAGAGCCATGCCAGGAGCAACCAAATAAAACCCCAAATAAAAACCAGTTCTAACCACATTTGACTCCCTTAGAACCTTATGCTCAATTTCACAAAGTGGGATTTAATAGTCCTTAGCTCAAGCCTCATGACCTGGAAGAGACGTTTCAGGGACTCTATTAATCCTGTTTCATGCGGAAATATGACTCGACACCACAGAAAACGGTTAAGGTGGCGACATTTACTAACAAATCAATTTTGTGGAATAAGCACATTACACACCCCTGGTCTGATGCAGGACAGTCAGAACCTGTAAGGCTGCGTCCCTGAATAGCTTCAACGCTGCCACCCTGGGCCCCTGAGCCCCGCTGCGCTCTGGCTCTGAGCTCTCCAAGCCTTCTCTGCAGGGACAAGAGGGGACCCAACGAGGGATCTGCACCGCGCGCCTGCTCGCTTGCCGAAGGAGGCTTCAAAGGATGGGGGCGGCTAATAAAACACTCGCTGTGCCCGCTCTAAGTGGTCATTAGTGAATAAAGAACCTCCAAGCTGCGCTCTGGAGGGAGCGGAGTACTGGCACCCGCGGGCTGTGGAGGACTGGCGTGTCTGGGAAGGAGGATGCGTCCAGGTGAAATCACGGCCCGCCTGCCCCCAGCACTGCCCCTTAGGGACCGGGTCCTGGGGCCCAGCCACCGGCGCGGCCCACGGCCAGACCCGCACAGGCTCGCCACCTGCTTCCCCGACCCTGGACCACACCGTGGGGCCCGGCCCGCGCCCCCCGAGGGGGAGCCCCTCGCGCCCCTGCTCCAGGGAGGCCCCCGGGCCCCGGGGCGGCGCGAGTCTGAACCCGCGCTGTGCGGCGTCAGGGCAGAGGCGGGGAGGGCGCAGTTAAAAGGCGCTGCAGGTGGGAGCCGGGCCTGCACCCTGACTCCGACTCGCTCGCTCGGCCTGGGGAGCGGAGGGCGCCGCCCTGCGCCGGGAGACCCGTTCCCACCGTGCACGCAGGTGAGCGCACGCCGAGCCAGGGAGGTCTCTCCCGGCTCCCGCGAGAACCCCGGGCCGTGGGCTCCGGGGCTCTGTTCCCTCCGTCCCGGTCCCCGCAGAGTCGCGGCGAGGGTGGGCACGCACGTGGCCGCCCGCATCCTCCCCCGGGCCCGCGCGGCCGCAGGAACGAGGCCCGACTGGTTCGGCTCCCCGCGCCCGGCGCCCCCGACTCGCACGACAGGTTTCAGGCGCGCTCGGCGCCGCCGTGTGAGCGTGGCCCGCGGGGAGCCCGCGCCCTTTCCCTCGTTTCCTCCGCTGCTTCGGGGTTTCCGGTTCTGGGGGTCGCGAACGCCCCCCCCCCCGGGATTTGGGGAGCAGGAAGCCAGGTCAAGAGCTGCTGTTCAAATTCAGCCAAATCCCGCCGCTGGGGCCGGACAGATGGGTCGCGGCGGAGCTGACCGGTGCGGGCAGCGTGATCTAAGTCCGAGGAGCTTGCGAAATGCAGTGACAGTCCTGGACGACGGTAATTAACCTCGGTGACACCTCTTCGTTAAAAGGTGCCGGCACCGTGGGCACTTCCTGCTGCTGAAGGAGTCGCCCAAGGGTGCGGGGTCTCTCCCCGCCGCGGAGCCCGGCCGGGTGAGTGTGGTCCGAGCGAAGCCAGGACGTCTGCAGGGCCGGGTGGGGGCGCCGGTCTGGAGACCTCAGTGTCTCCTGGAGGGAAGCTCGCTGTCAGTTGGTGCCTCCGTGTAACGACGCGCCCCGTTCCTTTCCGCAACTGGGCTTGACGCTTTTCTTGTCCCAGTTTTAGCAGAATCTAACCAGTGTCCTGGAAGAAGATGTCCTGCCCTGATGAGGTCTCCTTAGAATTGCAGGATGCTGCTCAAAACGGCGCCTGTGAAGAGCTTTGTCGCTTGTTGGATGGGGCAGAGTCTTTGGGGTGTTATCTGGACCCTGCCAAGGGCAAGGGCGAGGGGAGGGTAGTGCGAACACCAAGCCCGTCTCACTACTGGAGGTGTGAAGAGCCACCACCCCCTTGTCCGTCCTGCAGGCGCTAAAACCCAGAAGACACTGGTCAGTCCACTTGCTCTACTGATGGGGTTTTGTTTTTTTAAGACAAAAAAAGGTCTGATACAGGTAATGGTGCCTTCATTCCCCTTTTCTTCTTTTTTTTTCTTCTGTGTTATGAGAGGTAAGAAGGAAAAGGACTCTATAAGGTCTGGCTAAATAAGTTCAGTAGACTGAAACGAAAGTTCGAGCCGGCACATCCTCACCATGCATCTTTGATTCCAGCTGAGTACTTCAGGAGCTATGAGTGGTCTGTTTACATTAGGTTAGATGTTGAATAAAATTGTGGGAAAAAGTTTTGACTCAATTTTTTGGTCGGTGAGGTCTGACCCTCCCCTTGGCCATGCTGTCTCCAGTCAAGGTTGCAGGGTGACCTCCCTGGTCCATGAGAGGGGACTGGCGAGATTTCAGCTTTGCTTTGGTGGGTAAGAGTGGGACTGGTCTCAAGAGCCTTCATTTCTCTTTCTTCCCAGGGTGACTGAAATGCAGTTGAATTTAAATGTTTGGAAAGGACAGAAGTTTGCCTGAATGAACAGACAGGACTCACAAATTATCCAGGTGCAGGAAGTTGAATTTAATGGGAATTCTTTTTGTAACTCTTTGAGTTCTAAAATGGAGTAAGAGACATGTACATCTATGAATTGGATGCTTTTATATTTAAACTCATATGCAGAAAAACAAGCTTCATTTTTATTGAGTTGATTCTGAAGAAATATGAATCCGAGATCCATTGCCATCCTCAGTCATTGCTTTGAAAGCACTGTTGCTAAAGTCTTGTGACATTGCATCTGAAAACCAGCTATCAGGTCATTCCTTGGATGAGCTCAGATTTCTGGAGAAGAAAGATATTGATTCTTCTTGATTAAAGGGTTTGAGAGGTTTTTTTAATGGCTGAGTTGGTGGTAAGGATGTATCCATTTTCTCAAACTTTGCTAGTCTCTTTTGTAATGCTTGAGTGAGCTTGAAGTTTAGGATAGGATATTAAGATGAGGAGGAGGAGGGAAAAAATCTAAAGACAACCTTTAATTTTTTGCATGTGTTTGAAGTACGAAGTATTAGGAAACAGCAATACCCAAACTTACTCCATAACAGTACTGGGGGTGATGAAAAACTACCCACAGGCTTCACTTAATGAACATGTGTGGGAAAAGTTAAAAGAAGGTGACAGTATTTTTTGTTCAAGAGGTGACATTCCCTTGGCTTCCAGGGATAGAGCCCAGGTTTACACCTGAGTTGGCACTGTGCACTGCTGACTCCAGGCAGGAAGGACAAGTGGAGGAAGAAGGCCCAGAGCCCCCGGGGGGACCTGCTGTCACTCTCCATCCCGCCACAGTGGGCGTCCTTGCACATAGGCTCGAGTTCATGGTGGCTTATAATGTTTCCCGTTATCTGCACAGTCCTCGTGTGGACATCGTAGGGAGTGTGCTCCTTTCTTGCTGAATGACTTTGAAAGGGTCATTCAAAGGAGAACACAACTATCTAGAGAAAGAAAGATCCTTTCCACTCCTTATCGTATGCTGTAATTTTTAGTTTGGTTCTATCTTCAGTATAATTAAAATGGCATTGTTAAACTAGTTATGATTAAATTCTTAAATAAAAAGTTTTTAAACAATCAAGAAATAACACTGTTGTTGGAATGCCAGTAGACTCAAATGATTTGAATTATGAAAGGCAAGAATAGTCAATCTTAATAATAGTGTAAGAAGCTAGTCACTCTGGTCCAGATATGGTACATGACTGTAATCCCAGCAGTCTGGCAGGCTGAGGCAGGAAGACCCAAAGTTCAAGCTCAGCCTGGGCAACTTAGCAAGATCCTGTCTCAAAGTAAGTAAAATAAAGAAATCCAGCTCAGCACAAAGGTACTCTGAAGTAAGGAATGATCACTGTGTTACTTATTTTTGGAATCAAATATTTAGGACTGGGGCTTTAATACAGGATTAAGAATGTGGCATGGAATTATTCACTGTAATTAGATGTGCCACAAAACTAGACACAATTTACCTTCTTAAGTTTGAATGTAAACACTTTGGTATAAGGTGAATACTAGAGGAGGTATTTGCTCCTAACAAGGGAACTAGGAAGGTACCAGTGAAAAATCTTTCTGGTTTACAAAGAAGGAAATAATCATTTCCTTTTTATTCAAAAGCTCTTTCCATTGGCCTCAGCCCTGTTGAAGCCTGAAAGCAAAAAGAGATTTTGTTTTCCACAATTGCAAAAGGCGCAGATGGGTGCAGTGGCTTTGGAAAGTAATTTGAAATGAGTGACAGGTTCACTATGAGTGCTGGGCCTTCCAATCTTCTTTAAGCAAAGTATTGATGAACGATTACCTGCACACACACACCACACACACACACACCCATTATGAGTTTTTATAAAGAAAATCTGAAGCCCAGGGCATGTGTGGCCCCTCTGTGGTCGATCCCCCACCCTGGCCAGGGTGCTCCTGCCCACTGACAGTGCTGGGCAGCAGGGGAAAGAGGAGCCCAGTGTCCTCTTCAGACTGGCTGAAAATCCAGCCAACTGTCACCTCCATCTTCCTGTAGCTCCTCAGGCCAGGGACAGTAAGGTCTTCCCAACAACTGCAGCCTTGTGTTGGGAAGTTTGGGGGTCAGTAGCCCCCTCAGGACTCAGCACCTTGACTTGTCTCCCAATGGTTGTGAAGTGAGCTGACCTTGCAGAGAGTGACACTCAGGAAAGACACCCAGCACTTGACTGGTGATTCCCCAGGAATGAGGCCCCCTAGACCAAAGAACAGAAAGATTTTCTCTGTTAGGAAACATGGATTAGGGTCCCTGACACATTTGGAGCAGCCCCCTTAGGGCTGGGTCAGTGATGGAGAGATTAGAAATAACCTGTCCTCTTGGGTCATTTCTCTCGTTGTAAGTAGCAAGGCCCATGTCATTCTTGCAGGAAGATTCTTTGAATTCACATGGTTTGCTTTTTTGCCTGATTGATTGCCTTGAGTGACACCAGGCTACATACTTGTACCATACTTTAACCTCATTTTTCATAATGACCTGGGCATCTTATTTTTCTTCCTTTAAAGATATAGGTAAATTACTGATTTTTAGTATCAAAGTCAATAAGCATGGTGAAATAGGTTGTTTTCTGATCAGTTTAGGAAGCTGGGACCAATATACCTCTTCTGTGACTGCAGAATTCTTTCAGATCCTGTTATCTTTGACACCTTAATCTGTTTGCTTACTTCCTGAAAGGACAGGTGAAAAGTGATGACATATGTGCATGTTCAGGCAGGCAACATGACAGAAAACACAGGAAAGAGCCTTCTTACCTACCTGGGAGTTAAAATTCTATAGACTTTGAAGCATTTTGGAGAATGCAGTTTTTATTTGATAAGTCAAAAATTTGCTTAACCGTCAAGATGCATAGTGTTTTTGTTTGTTTTTTTCTTTTTTTTTTCCAAGGTGCATAGTTCTACATCCCCATTGGTCACACCCTGAAATATCTCCATGATAGAACAGCAACAATAGGGCAATTTATCATAATGCCTTTGAACATCAGGGACTCAGAATTAATTTTATAATTATTTAAGATGAGTCTTTAATATCAACAGTCCATTTGCTGTGGACATTGAAAAGTCTCTTTGGGCCATGGTCTAAGTAGAAGGAAGGGTTTAATAAATCGGTCTGAATTCCAGAGTCTCAAGACCACTGCTCCTCAGTGAGTCCTCTCTGCCCCAGCCATAAGAGAGCTCACCAGCCTCTGATTAGATGCTTCAGGGGTTGAGAAACCACAGCTTTAAAGACAGCCTAGGTCATTTTTCTCAGCTTAAAAACAAAGCAAACTCTATGGCTTTCTGTGAATGCAAAGCCCTGGATCCATTTCTCAGTTCTAGGTCAACACAAGGTTTGATTCATCTGCTGCAAACCCCATAGCATGTACTCTCCCCTAGCTAAAGAGTCTTCTGCTTCCCCCAGCTGCTCCCCTGGTGAAATAAGAGGCTCTTATTCCAGACTCCACCACCTGTTCACACCACTGCAGATCCCCAGGCTACTGCGGTTGCACATGTCATGGTTACTGTTACTGAACCCTTGCAGAGAAGTTTCATGATGCTGTTTTAGAACTTTGCTAGCGATTAAACAGAAAGTTCCCCAGTTCACACTCAGAGACTTTCTCTTCTTTTGGAGATCAGAATATTTGTCCTTCTCCAGGCATTGAGGCACTCTGTGATTCTGAATAATAGTATTCTGATTGCCTATAGCAATCTTCAAAAAATTAAAAATAGAACTCTCATAGGATTCAGAAATCCAATTTCTGGATGTATACCCAAAAGAAATGAAAGTGGGATCTTGAAGAAACATTTGTAAACTCTGTTCATAGCAGGATTATTCACAATAGCCAAAAGGTGAAAGTAACCCAAGCAAGGGCTCCACTGACAGGTTGAATGAATAAGCAAAATGTAGCATATCCATTTGGTAGAATATTATACAGCCTTAAAAAGGAAGGGAATTCTGAACATGAATGAACCTTGAGGACTTTATGCTGAGTGACAAAAGCTAGTCACAAAAAGGTGATATATGATTCCACTTATATATATGACATACCTAGAGTAGTCAAAAATCACAGACATGGAAAGTAGACACATGGCTGCTAAGGATTGGAGGACAGAATGGAGAATTATTGTTTAAAGGGTACAGAATTTTCACATGGGAAGACAAAAAGGTTCTGGAGATCTGTTTCACAGCAATGTGAATGTACTTAACACCACTAACTGTACATTTAAACTAGTTACAATGATAAATTTTATGTCTATTTTACCCACAACTAAATTTTAAAAAATACTTTAGTAACAACAAAAAGACAAGGAAGCTTCTAGAATATTTGGGGAGAGATGCTGATCCCATCTGCAAACTTTTCAGTGCTCTAAGATTTAGTTCTTGTGGCCAGGGATTTAGCTCAGTGGTTCTGCCGCCTGCCTCACAAGCGCAATGACCCGAGTTCAATCCCCGGTACCAAAAAAAAAAAAAAAAGGTAGAAAATGTTCGGGCCGGGGATTGAGCTCAGTGGTTCCGGCACCTACCTCACAAGCGCAAGGTCCCAAGTTCCATCCCCAGTACCAAAAAAAAAAAAAGATTTAGTTCTTTTGGGAATGAAGACTCGAGTTCATCTCGTAATCTAGGCTCTAGCTCAACACCTCTCTAAATTTGGAGAAAGAGTTTTTTTAGAAAAATTTATTTTTGATAATATAGGGGCTGGCACTGTAGCTTAGTGGTAGAGCCTGGCCCAGCCTGTGTGAGCCCTGACACCCTAAAAAGAATTTCTGCATCTTATTGGTTCTCAGTTAAAATTATACAATTTGTTTCAAGGATGATACCCATTGCTTTTTCACACTTTGGTCTCAGTTATATCATTTTTCATTATTTCACTATTTTTATGTGGGTTTTTAAATTTGTTTTGGTTTTTTGTACGTTTCAGCTGACATGGTACTTTTACTTCCTGAAATTGTTGTGCCAGGTTTTGGGCCACTCCCCTCACTCCTAGTCCTTTGTCTCCCAACTTTAAATGGCTTTAAAATCTTAGTCTGCTGGGCAAACAGGATTATGTCACTAATGAATTATTTCGTTGGTTTAAAGCCACTTAATGAATAAAACCTACTGTGGAGGTTCTGTGAGCCCGTGGATAAAGCCAGACTGATATAATATATAATATATTCACATAGTGATTAAAAACGAGCTTGGACACAAGTTTGTTTACCTGTGGTCCTCCATTAATGGAATACAGCAGCAATCTAACCTGTAACCTAAATTCAGCTGAATCAAGATGATCTTAAACCTTCCTCCCAAAACAGTTATTTCTAGTCAAAAGCAACAGAAGGCTCAGAATGAGTCTTCCTTATCAGGAAACCTCCTACTAGCCGACTGGGGAGTTAGCATTATAAAATATGACAGCCTAATTTAAAACAAATGCGCTTGCATCTACAATGTCCCTATGGTACTGTTTTATCAACCAGAGGCACTTTCCACAGTGTAACCTCGCTCCTCTCTGTCTTCCTAGGGATAAACCAGCACCATGGATTGGGGGACACTGCACACTGTCATTGGGGGTGTGAACAAGCACTCCACCAGCATCGGGAAGGTGTGGATCACGGTCATCTTTATCTTCCGGGTCATGATTCTTGTGGTGGCTGCACACGAAGTGTGGGGTGATGAGCAAGAGGACTTTGTCTGCAACACTCTGCAACCTGGCTGCAAGAACGTATGCTATGACCACTTTTTCCCAGTGTCCCACATTCGGCTGTGGGCCCTGCAGCTCATCTTCGTGTCCACTCCAGCACTGCTGGTGGCCATGCATGTGGCCTACTACAGACATGAAACTGTCCGAAAGTTCAGGCATGGAGAGAGGACGAATGAATTCAAAGACCTGGAAGACATTAAAAGGCAGAAGGTGCGCATCGAGGGATCGCTGTGGTGGACATATACTAGCAGCATCTTCTTCCGAATTATCTTTGAAGCGGGCTTCATGTATGTGTTTTACTTCCTGTACAATGGGTACCACCTGCCCTGGGTCCTGAAATGTGGGATTGACCCCTGCCCCAATCTTGTTGACTGCTTTATTTCCAGGCCAACTGAGAAAACTGTGTTTACCGTTTTTATGATTTCTGCATCTGTGATTTGCATGCTCCTCAATGTGGCTGAGCTATGTTACCTGCTGCTGAAAGTATGCTTCCGGAGATCCAAAAGAACCCAGACTCAAAGAAATCACCCCAACCATGCCCTAAAAGAGAGTACACAAAACGAAATGAATGAGTTGATTTCAGATAGGGGTCAAAATGCCATCACAGGTTTTCCAAGTTAAGTATTTCAAGGTGAAATGCCGCTGAATCCTGAGAAAACATTGGTCTTCCCTGGGAGGCAATGCCAACCTGAAAATTCCTCTTACAGGCTGAACGGCTTGTCTCTGTAAATGACTTCTGTAATAAATACATAGTTTGAGCTCACTCTCTGTGGAACACTTACAGCACTCACATGCAACATGGTCAGGTACCTGGTCCACCTCGGGAGACACGATGCTTGCCAGCTACTGATCCTTGAAGCCACTGAACCAGTTCATACACGGACTGTCTGAGCTAATGGTTATGTCCTGAAAATTTATACAACCTGTTGTTGATAAAAAGCACTTATCTAAAAATGGATACTTTTATTCCTCAAAGATATTTTTATAGGAATGAATGTTTTAGTTCTGTCTTTGAATTTATGTAAAGTATTTTTATAATGACCTCCCTATTTGGAAAAATAGATGATGTTAGTTTTAGAAGTTTACCACAAGCCTCTACATTTTTAACTGACAAAGGGCCGACCTGGTAAATATTGTTTTGCATTGTCTATTGACAAATTGATGAACTGTCATGACACTGTTATGGTGGAAAATGTTCATTATACAATATATTTTTACTGTTTTCTGAATGGAGATAGTGCTGGGCGGAAGTGGGAAGTGGCTTTTATAAACTAGCCTCTTTGCTAATCATTGTGAACAATAGAAATATAAGTGTAGTCACCTCAATAAAGCTGGGCCCATTGCTTAAACCTTCTCATGCACTGTGGGTTTCTGTTCCTTCTGGGCTGGGTCACTGTGGGTGGAGGTGCCTGAACCTCAGCAGGGATTCTTCCATCCTCATGTCAAGTGAAGAGGGCTGAGGTTAGCAGCTGACCAGGCCCTCAGCATGGAGAAGCGGTAAGGGTCAGTTCAGCTTTGGTAAAGAGGAGGTAGGGAGTCTTACACAGCTACTTAGTACACTCTGTGTTGCTGTTATGAAATGCCTGAGGCTGAGCAACACAAAGAGATTTATTCATCTTACAGTTCTGGAGGTTCCAGAGTATGGCACCGGCATCTGCTTAGCTCTGGTAAGAACTGTGGATGATTTCATGGAAGCAGAGTAGGAGAGGGGCAGAGACCACATGACCAGGCAGGAAGCCAGCAAGTGACTCAGGGACTGTGCCAGGCCCTCTTGTAACCACCCACTCTTCCTGAAAGACCAGCAGGAGTTCTTTCCAAGGGAGCTGCGCCCATAACCTGCTGACCTTCTGTAAACCCACCCTCTTCAAAGATCCACACCTCAGCAGCACCACGCCAGCTAGGGTGCCAGCACAGGGGCCTTGGAGAACACACACAAACCATGTCCTGGCTGGAGCAGCAGCCTCAGCAAAGCTGGCCTCAAAGGCCTCAAGGGCCCATGGTGACAGAGCAGCACCCACAGCTCCACACCCCAGATGGGAACCCTTCCCCCAGGGACTTCCAAATGGCACACAGATCCCTCGGTGTGAGTGTGGCTGAGTCGGTGCAGCCCATCACTCAGGAGTAATGCACATGTGAACACAGCCCCTGTGCATCAGGACACCTGATGAGGGGCCGCCTGTGAGAGAGCAGACACAGAAGAGGGTTCAGTGTGCACTGGTTTCTGAAGGACCTGTTACAGAATCTCTTTCCAGAAGAAAGGTATCATTTTCTTCACAGTCTAAAGCAAACCCCAGACTACCATTTCACCTGTAACTATTTTAGTGCCAGCCTATGCAAACCAAGAACTAACCTTTTTTAAAAAAATCACAATTTCATCATCACTAGTCAGCATTCATTAATCATTAAGTCTTGATTCTCCAATCAAGTTCCTTTCTTTTGCAGTAGCCTTTGCACAGGTATCAAGCAAACCCTATCATCAGGAGGACGGGGTTGGTGGCAAAGCCTTGGTGCTCCCCTAGTCTGTGTGGACAGAGGGTCCTTCCCACCCTCTCCTTGGGATACCCTCCGGACTGTGATGGCTGCTTCTCCCTCTCCCTCTTCCTCTTCCTCTCCTTCTCCCTCTTTTCTCCTCTTCTCTTACCTCTCTCTCCTTTACTGAGATATAATTGATAGACACACATCTGCACATATTTAGTGTTTCTAATTTGATGAACGTTGACCTATAAAAATGGTTGGTATCCCATCACCAGCTCAAGGTAATAAACATATCTTTCACTTCCAAAAGCTTCTTTTGTCCTCTTGGCTTTTGTTTTGGGGTGTGTAAGAACATGCAGCATGAAATCCACCCTCTTAACTAAATGTGAAGCATACAATGCTGGGTTCCTAACTAGAGGCCTGATGTTGTGCCGCAGACCTCTAGCATCACTGATACTTCACACTCACTGAATAACAGCTCCTCCTTTCTTCAGACCCGGCCCCAGCACTGGATACCAGTACTGTATTCTCTGCCTCTGTGAGTTTGGCTATTTTAGACACTGCATGTAAGGGAAATTATACAATACTTGTCCTTCTGTGTCTGGCTTATTTCACTGAGAATGGTGTCCTCCACATTTATCCATGTTGTAGCATATGACAAGATTGCCTTCCTTTTTAGGGTTGAATAATAATCCATTGCATGCGTATATTGCATTTTCTTTACCCATTTATGTCAAAACTACAATGAGCTATCAACTCACAGCTGTTACCAAAAAGCAAAACATGGGTAGGAATGTAGCTCAGTGGTGGACCTTTGGCCTAGCATTCCAAAGTCCCTGGGTTTGATCCCAGCACTGCATTAAAATAAATAAATAAGTCAATCAATCAATGGCCAGGCATGGTGGTCCATTCCTTTAATCCCAGGATTTGGGAGGCTGAGGCAGTAGGACCACCATGAGTTTGAGCCCAGCCTAGGTTATATAGTGAGTTCACAGCCAGCCTAAACTACATAGTGAGACCCTGTCTCAAAAGGGAAAAAAAAATCAATCAATAACTGAGAGAGTTAGAGAACTGCTATCCTGACCAGAGGATGACTAGGCCAAGCCCCAGGATTTTTGAGAGAGGAAATGAGGGAGTGAGAAGAAGTCGTCTCCCCAGCAGTAATGGAGAAAATACAGGTAGGAACCACAGTCCGGTGATCACGGGCTGCAAAGCACGACCCCCTTTCAAGATAGCAGAAATTTCCTCCTTCAAACCCTCCAAAGCCCCTCGACCTGTACAGGGGCGCCTCTCTGGTTCCCATACCAGCCATCCCTCTCAGGTTTTATTCCAGTGACGCCTGCCCTCTTCTGTAGAATTCGGTTTCCTTTTCTTTTTTCCTAACAGTAACAAATGCTGGCAAGAACACAAAGAAATTGAAACTCTTGTGTTCTACTGGTGGGAATATAAAATGGTGCAGCTTGGTGGAAAACCTCATGAAGTAGATTCCTCAAAACATTAGGAACAGATCGACCGTATAATCCAGCAATCTCACTTGTGAGAGTACACCCTAGTGAGCTGAAAACAGGATCTCAAAGAGATCTCAAAGTTCCACCTCTGTGCTCAAGGCAGCGCCATTCACAGTGGCCAACTGGATTAGCAGGCCTCTCATTTCCACACACTTTTCATTCCCTGCTGCTCTCTAGCCTCACTAGACAGCCCTTCCCGGGGGCTGCAGCTCTCCTCTCTCTGCCCTTCCGTCAAGGATCTGAGAGTGGCCAGAACTCCCTGTCTCCCCAGTACCTCTTAGCACTAATCTGGGCTCATTCCTCTCCACTCAACGGAGGCCACTGTCAGCACCAGTGACTTTCTGAAAAGTAAATCTAATGGCTTCTGCTCAAATGTCCTCTGCCTCGCCTCTCTCTAAATTCTTCTGAATTCCATGATACTATCTGACTTCATCTAGGGCTCCTAACCCACCTCCAACTGTGCCTCACCCTCGGCTGGCTCACTTCCTCGCCCTTTTCATGGGTGAAGTCACCCAGGGACTGTTCTCTCCTCACCTGCACTCTTCCTTGGCAATCTCATTTATCTACACAATTATCCCATGAGATGCCCGTCAGCCCGTAGAGAAAGAGAAGGTAGATAACTTACCAAAAGTCACACAGCTAATAAATAAGAGTTGAGATTCTCGAGGAGTCTGACTGTCTGCAAGTCCAGGGCTTCACCAACCCCTGCCCTGCTTCCCCCAGCTCCTCACAGGGCGAGGGCTTGTAAAGTGCAGTGTTCCAACCTTTAACATCTGTCTCCTATCTTTGATAGTTTTCACAGACAACCAAACCCCACCTGCTTCTCGCTCACTTTGGATTCCGCTGAAGCAAATCCCTGATGTATTGTTTCACCTATAAATATTTCTGTTTGGATCTTTTAAGAATATAAAACCAAACCATGAAATGGCAAATCTCCTGCTCCCCAAAACTGTTCAAATTGTTTTCAGAATGCAGGAGCCCAGACGATGTGTGTTATGCCTTGGAAGAAAGTTTGTCTGCTTTTTGCTTATGTCCAGAGACTTTGCCTGAGACTGAGATTAAGGGCAATGGACTAATTAATCTCCCAGAAGAAATTCAAGGCAGTTTAATGTTGAGGCTGTGGCATGGCTGCTGTTGGGGCTTTTAGCCAGATCTGTGTTGAGGATCAAGAGCAAAGAGCACAATAGAATGATTTTAAATGTTTTGAGTTTGGCCAGAAAGGAAGCTCTAGTAAAGTTTCAGCCTGCAAAGATAGAGCAGAGGAGATCTTGATTGCTGAGAAGGAACAGGAGAATAGAAAAGATGGCCTGAGGGCATCACAAGAAACAGCAGAACTCCGTCTTTTGCAGACTCAAAATTGCAGAAGTGAAAGACTTTGCTTTGAGAAGAGAGCCCCAGAGCACCATGTTCCAGAAAGGTGGGGGCAACCTAGAGAATTTGTTCCTCAGCATTGGATTCAGAGTGCTCAGCAATCCAAGCTGTCAAGGCTTCCAGCACAGACCCTCAAGCTTCCTACAAAATCTCATGGGACTCTGCAGTGAGGTCTGGTCTTCAACTTTTGAGTGGATCCTCAAATGGCCCTTTCGTACTCTTCTGCCCTTGACTCTGCAGGCAGCCATTATAAGTCTACCTTGTGCATCTGTTGCTCTAATGAACTCTAACTGATACAGCTGTCTTTCCTCAGTGGAACTGCTTTTATATTGGTTTAGGAACCAGTTGGGCATATCTACTTCTGGATTTTCTGTTCTGATCCATTGACCTTTAGGTTTATCTCTCCTCCAATATCAAACTGATTCCTATTTTTAGTCTTCTTTTCCAAATTGTTTCAGCTGTTCTAATTCCTTTGCCTTTCCAATATGTGGTAGGATCTGCTATATTGAGGATTATAGAACAATCTTGTCTACACATACAAAAATTTTGCTGGGATTTTGATAGGAATAAAGCTTGTGCATCAGTTTGGGGAGAATTGGCATCTTTACTATGTTGAATTTTTCTATGCACAAACACAATTTTTCTCTATTTATTTGTATTTTCTTCAATTTCATCAGTATTGTATAGTTTTCAACAAGCAAGTCATGTAAATGGATTTACATTTAAGTGTTGCATTTTCTTTGAGTGATTATAAATAGTATTGGGGGAGGCGAGGATTTAGCTCAGTGGTTCTGCCGCCTGCCCTGGAAATGCAAGGATCCGAGTTTGATCCCCAGTAA